CTTTGGGAGTTTAACACTGGAAGTGCAGAGGACCATAATATTGATTATGCCCAAAGCAGGCTGTGAAGAGTTAATCCCACCATCGGTTTGTTTATAGAAGTGAGTCTGGCCAAAGCCTACTTGCCAAGGTCAGAGTAACTTGTTCCCACAACTAAAACCTTAAGATTAGGACAGTGTTCTAATTACAACCATATATTTTGTCTATCCTGTTCCTAATTCAAGAATGCTTTGTCTTATCCTTTATGAGCCTTTTGTTTTTTTTCATTAAGTTTACTGGTACATTTTAGCTATACAATACAGTTACATTCATCATTGGGAATTTGTTCCTTTACATGATAGATCTTGGTTCTTATATTTTTTCCACATTCCCCTGCCCTCCCTTCACCTCTTCTACCCCTTTCTTTTTACAAAGACTTTGTTTCCATTTCCTTTTCTCATATTTTTTCCATTCCTTTCTTTCCCTCCCACTTTCCCTACCCCTTTAGACCTTTTGTTCCTGTTATACATCCATACTGAATTTAGTTATTTCTCCAAAGTTTCTTACACTTTCCTTGTCTTTGATGACTGTGTCTTTTTCTCCTTTTTCTTTATTCTTTATTGGTACCAGGGATCAAACTTGAGACCTTGAGCTGAGCTTCTGAGGCAGGTGGTGGCACCACTGAGCTGAATCCCTGGCCCTGACTGTGACTTTTGAACTGACTGTTTATAATTTTTCCTAATTTGTGTTTGTCCCATATTTTCATATTATTGGTCTGAAATTATTCATTTTTGGCAAGAATACTACAAAAATGGTGTATCCTTTTTACTGCATCACATTAAGGAATTTATGATTTGGGGTGGGGGGGTTGAGACAGGTTCTCACTATGTAGTTGAGACTGACCTGGAACTCACTGTGTAGCCCAGGCTGGTCTCGAACTCACAGCAATCCTCCTTCCTCAGCCTCCCGAGTGCTGGGATTATAGGTGTGCACCACTAGGGATTTATGATATGGATACATCTGAATACTAGTACAGTGGTGCCTTGGTTCATGAACTTAATTTGTTCCACAATTCTGGAAAAGATGGCTATGTTCATGTTTGTATTCACACAGGAATGATGGCTACAGTCATGTTCATTACCCAATGCAAACAAGGAGTTTGCAAACAAAAACAAAATTTTGCCAAACATTTCTGTTTGTGAACTAAATTGTTCACAAACAAAAGTGTTTGAGGTACCACTGTTCTTGGTCACCTGGGTAAGTTGGTGTGCTGAGTTTTTCACACCACTACAAAGTGAATGTATTTCCCTTGTTAGCTGTCTTGTGAGAATTATTTTGAGACTATAAATTCTGCTCTCTTCAAACTTTTGCCCCCAGTTTTTTGCATCTGTTAAGTGGATCTTGTCTGCTACTTTTGTGATGCTTACCTGTTTTGTAATCCTGTTTTGTTTCTGTTCTTCTACTTGGAGTTCTATTATAAGAAGAGTCCTATTTTTTTCTATTTATTTTTACTTGTTTGCTTATGCCAGTATGGACTCATGAAAGTTTGTTTTATCCTATGCATGTCAATCCACTGTTGTCATTTGTTTTGTTGGTCAATTTATTCCATTTCTGGCTGTTAAGGGCTCATTCAGGCTGACTCATATTTGGACAAGCCTTACCATTTTTTTCCTGTTTTAAAAAATTGCCTTATATTTTGGTATAAGAAGATATTCCAGGCGCATCCAGGATCAACTGCTTTTCTGAAGAGCCTTGGTTTTTTTTATTGGAGTGTGGTGTTTTAGAGAACAAGATCTGGGGACCAAGCATACTTGTTACTGTAGTGTCATTGCTTCTAGGCCCCTCAGTAAACAGAACTAGGAAAATAAACTGATGCATATAGACACACACGTACATTAAAGCCTTGTTTATATTGATACCTCCGATTCTAGCTTGACACCGTAGGATTCCTCTTAGCATTTCTCCTTTGTTTTTTTAAGTTCTTTCTCTGTGAGAAACCAAGTTATCATGATCTGTATTCTATTTCTGTCTCCTTGTCTTCTTCGTAGGGTTACTCATTTATAATGCAATTATGTTCATTTATTAGTGTTTCTATACCATTTTGAGTTCTTACCATATTCTGTTTTTTTTTTAATTATTTGGTTTTTTAAAACCATTTTTTGTTTTTTTTGGTACTGGGGATTGAACTCAAGACCTTGTGCTTGTGAAGCAGGCAGAGGTACCACTGAGCTAAATCCTCTGCCCCCCATTTTTATTTTTTGAAGGATATTTGAAGAATGCTATGACTCTAAGAGTCAGAATTAGTAATAATATATATATTCAGAGACATGTCGCTCTCCTTATGCCTGCTACTCTGTTGTCATTCCTCCATTTTTCCCTTTCTACCCCTTTCCCTTCCCCTTCTGGATAACATATCTCCTTTATTTCTGGTTTCCCTTCCTGTGTTTCTTTTCTTTCATTGAGTACAGGATGTATTTTCCTATATTCCCCTTCATTCTTCCATAGGATAGCTCTTTTCTGGACTTTTAAAAATTAACCGTACAATTGTCCCCCATCTGTGCGGGATACATTCCAGATTCCTCATAGATACCCAGAATCTTGGATAATACTGAACCCTATATGTACTATATTTTTTTTTGTACATGTATATATATGGTAAAGTTTAGTTATAAATTATAAGTACAATAAGAAATAATAAACTATGACAACTATAACAATATACTGCAATATAAATTATATGAATGTGGTCTCTTTCTCAAAATACCTTATGGTATTCATCTTTTCATATAATGGAAGAACTTTGTGCCTTCTCTTTGGCATATTTGAATTGCTAGCACTACTACTCTTGTGCTTTAGGATCATAATAACATGACATAAATGGTATAATTGACCATGTGAAATAGGAAGAAACGAGCTAAAGGTGTAGGGGAAGTGGGAAGAGTAGGGGAAAGGAAATAAGGGAAAAGAAAAAATATGAGAAAATGAAAAAATGGAAATAAAGTTTTTGTAAAAAGGGAAGGGGGGGTGAAGGGAGGGCACGGGTATGCGGAAAAAATGAGAACCAAGACCTGTCATGTAAAAGTACAAGATCCCAATGATGAATGTAGCTGTACTGTATACCTAAAATGTACCAGTAAACTCAATAAGGAAATAAAATAAAATCACATACTTGAACACAAGCATTGTGATACTGCAACAGACAGTTTGACAACAGAGACATTTACTAAGTGATTAGCAGATGGGAAACATCACAGAATAGGGAGTGTATGTGGTGTCGATATGGTGGACAAAGAGGCGATTTATATCGCAGTAGCATGAAGCAGATGTCGAGGGATGTCAGCACACAGCTCAGTGTCATGTAATTTAAAACTTATGAATTATTTATATCTGCAAATTTTCATTTAATATTTTCTGACCACAGTTGATCATAGGAAGTTGAACTGTGGATAGGGGAGGTGGTGCTATATATCCTAGAAATCACTCCATGTCATGAATATTGTCCTTAGTCTCTTTTTCTTTTCACAGTTGCATAGTTTACATGTACCATTGTTTATTCAGTCACCTTCCTATGTATACATGTGGGTTGTCTTTTAAATATTTATAATTTCAAAGAATAATGCCATATGTATGCACTTTTGAAATCACTGGACACTGTCACCCCCTCCAAGAACAGGGGTGTCTGTCCATTGTGCAAGACTTCTTTAGTGTCTTTCAGTCATGCTAAAATTTTCTCATATAAGTTTTGCACATTGTTTGTTCCTAAGTATTTGATCTTTTTTGTTGCTAATTATAAATGGAATTTTTTTTCCTGCTAGTATTTCCCCTTGACTATTGTTTTTGTATAACAAGGCTATTTATTTTTATATCTTACTGCTTTTATTTTGGAATTAGCTTTATTTTTTGTTCTTTGTGGTTTTCAAGTGTAATATTATATCTGTAATGAAGATAGTTTTACTTTTTTTACCTATTATTCCTTTAGTTGATTTCTCTTAACTCTTAACTAGTTGGACTGGTTAATATCTCAGTACAATGTTAAATGGTAACAGAGATGTTGGGCATCTTTCCTTTGTACATGATCTTACTAGAAATGCATCTGTATCTTTCTTTGTTAAATAATAATTGTAAGACTAACATGTGTATATGTATATATTTTGGCCATGTTGAAAAAGTATCTCTTAAATTCTTATTTTCTTGAGTTTAATTTGTAATGAGTGCTGATGCCACATATACTCTTATCTCAGTATATATAGAGAAGTTTATGAATATACAATATATTAATAGATTTCCTAGTTGAAACACTCCTGTACTGACATAACTCCCAATTAGTCACATATTATTTTCTTAGTATGGTTTTGGATTCTGTTTGTAAACACTACATTTTTTTCTCTCCAGTGTATTTCTAGAGTAAAAAAAAGATTTTTTCTGCATTATAGTTTTTAATATAGCATCTTATAATTCTTTGTGTGTCTATCTCTCAGGTTAGATTGAGAGTGCTTTTAGAACCTGAACTATATTTTATTTTTCTTTACCTTTAATACAGAGTATGTCATTTATAGTTGACATTCTCCAAATATTGTTGAATGAATTAGCAGAAATAGGTCATTAAATTGTTATTGAATGGGACCTGAGCATATTGTGTTGCTCTTTGACAGTGAGCTGTCGCATTTGTTTTCAATACTCAAAACTACTGTCCAGTGTTGGAGAAGACTGAGTTTTGCTTTGGAACTAATACTTTGATTTTTATCTGTCAAATCAAGGTGATAATTTGGTCTTTTAAATCGTTCCATATATAAATGATTTTATTAATTATTAATTCTGCATAAATGCTTTTTCTGAATTTTTATTCTAGAATTCATTACCTATTATGATTAATAGATATTCATATATTGTAGATAGCTTTGAAAAGAAAATTCTGACTACAAATAAATTAGTCACCCTGTGGATATTTGTAAGAGTAGAAGTGGGTTGGCACAGCTGTCTTAACTGAATTGTTTAATATATGCCTAACACATTTTACTTTTAGGTATGTCTGACTGCAGCTCTGGTCCGGTTCTTGATGCATCTAAACCAGCCACTGAAGAAGTCAAGTCTAATTCTGAGGTGACTGGGTGGTCTTTATATTGCTTTATAAAGTCATCCCATATCACACTTGAGGCTTCAGACTGTTCAGATTGACTTAGTTTGTCTAAACGGATGCTATTCTATAAATTCTTTTTTATTATAGTAGTCAGAGGCAGAGGTTAAGAAGAGAGATTTCTTTGTAATGGTAAGGAAGTTACACTTGCATCTGAAATTTTAGAGTATGTCTTGTCACATAAAGATGAACATAAAAGCTGTATGTTTTTATTTAAATTTGAAATATGACAATGACTAGAAGTAATGGCATTGGGTGGCTCACATGTAGGCTTATCCACTCCAGTAAGCACTCTGGATATGTCAGCATCCCGTTGTAGAGCCTTTGAAACTACTGAATTTCATCCTTCAGGCTTCCTGAACCTGCCATGATGAAGACTGGGCCTTAAGTATCATTTTTATTTTTTGAGAGTCCACTGGTGATTCTGATACATACCACCAAAGAAGCACTATTCTAGTCATTAGAATAAGGAGAAAGATTCAATGGCTAATTTTTATATTGCATTCAAGTTAATATAGGTGGTTTTTGGAAATGTAACAGTAGTAGTAATATATATATAAATCATAAAGGTTTACTGAGCAGCCCACTCACCTCCTTCCCTCCTTTTTTTTGTTTTTGGTGCTGGAGATTGAACCCAGGGCCTTTGCATTGAGCTACAACCCAGCTCTATTATTTTTTATTTTAAGTTGCCCAGGCTGGGTTTGAACCTACAAGCCTTCTACCTCAGTCTCACAGGCTGCTGAGATTGCAGGCTTGTGCCAGCACATCCAGCTTTCAAGTAGCATTTTAATATTGCCCTACATTGATGTTTTAGAATAATTCACTGTAGTTCAGTTAGGTAACTAAAACAACTTATTTTTCCAATTTTTTATTTTAATTGAACAAATTTAATTTAATCTTCATAGAGTTGGTGACTGGTTTTAGAGGAATTGGTAAGTTTGGGAAATAACATAGGGTCTTTATGTGTGTGGCACAGTACTAGATACATTATTCAGTTGAAACAAGATATTATGAATCTTTGCAACTAGTTTTAACATAGGATTTAGAGCTGGATGATTGATTTTAGTTTTAGTATCAAGTCAAAGATGAGCTGTGTTTGAAAATACGTATTACTTGTAGAGAACTCAGGATTCTTTGTGTTTTAAGACAGTGTGGCTGTTTATCTTTTAGCAAAGCAGTGGTGTAGTTATGTGTCCTGAGAAACCAGAGAATTGTGTATACTGTATCTTAGTTTAGAGATTTGCTTATCTGTGATCAGGTCTCTAAGTCTGTCTGTACTGTTGAGAGAAGATCAAGCAAAATTTGTTTCATGCCAACTATAGGAAAGATTGATAGTCCATCCATGATAGGATTCATAATACTAAATGCAAGTATTCTATTTATAGTTTGCCACTTTGAGTTTCATATTTATGAATGTTGCTATAATAGTGCTGAGCAAAAAATATCCTGCTAGGGAGTAAAGTTAAAAAAACATTGATCTGAAGGAAACCACTGCCAAATAATGGATTGCTCAAATTTGTCTGTAAATTAACATTAAAATCCGTGTTAGGTATTCCCTTTGTTTTAGCCATACCTAAATATGCATTGTCTAGGGGATGTAACAGTAATAATAATAATAATAATAATAATAATAATAATAATAATAACAAAAACAATAATAATGGTAGACCAGGTTTAATGAATATAAACAATTTATGTTCCTGTTGAAAAGCATCAGAGGAGTTTATAGTTAACCAAGTACAAGTTGGGAATATTTTTGTGACTTTAAAATTTTATATATAACATAAATTGTCAATTTGTACAACATGGATTGAACTGAAGATCGTTATGTTAAGTGAAGGAGGCCAAGGACAGAAAGACATGTACCACATGATTTCACCTATACATAGACTCTTAAAAGTTGATCTCTTACAAGTTGAGAGTAAAATGTAGAATGGTGGTAATAGCACTAGAAGCCAGAGATAGAAATGGGAGGGAGGGATGGGGAGATGTTTGTCAGTGGTTACCAAGTTACAGTTTTAGAGGAGTAAGAAGTTCTAATGTGCTATTGTTCTTGGACTGCAGAGTATATGTGTTTTGAAACATCACATGCTACCCTATTAATAATATGTACAACTTTTGTGTTTTTATCAGTGAAGAAATAAATAAAATTCCCCATTAGTCTACTATTTTAAACCTGTTTGTTTTCAAAGTTTGTGGGTCAGATTTTCATGAGTAGAAACACTAGTCAACTTGCCCCGTTCACTGAGAGCCCAGTAGGTGCCAGGCATTATTTAGGTTTTGTATATATTTTTAAAGATTTCGTCTACTGCTGTGATAACACTTTTGGCAGTTGAAATTTTCTCACCATTTTACAGATTGGGCAGTTGAAATTTGGAAGGATTAATGTAGCTATTAAGGAACACAGCTATAATTTGAACCCAAATAAAAATTTTAAAATGACTAAATTTAAGAAACTAAGTAGTATAGAGGTAGAAAAAATTGGGGAAACAAGGTTTTTAAAATGAAAGCAAAGAAGTTATGTTAAGAATTTATTAAAAAAATCAATCATGTGCTTGAGAAGTGGGATTGTAAATATGTATATTTAACTCTGTATAGACCGTGTACCTACCTTGTATAAAAATAATTTTAAAAATTGAATGAAAGGGAGGTAAGATAAGGGAGTCATGAAGTTTTTTGCCTTTTTATTTAAATGAAAGAATTCCAAATAACTCACCTGCAGGCTTTTAGCACAAAAATGCCCATTATACACTGTTAAAATTTACAATTCTGTTGGGAAGAGAAAGTATAATCTCATTTATAATTTTTAAAGATTTCATTTCATGGATGGATTTTTTTGTAGTCTTATTTATCTTCAATTGTATTGAGTTCTATTGTTAGAATAGGTAGCTGCAAAAAGATTATATTCTGAAAGAAAAGCAGTTGACATATATAACCAATTTAAAGTATTCCACTTAAATTACACACTGAGAGCATGTATTATGCAGACACAGATTTTTTTTGTTTATTTTTCTTTTATTGAGGTGGATTTCATAAATAGATGTGTTGAATTACTACTTTTGTTGTACATATTATTTAATAAACTTTAGAGTTGTGTGGCAAAAAAATTTATTATCTTATGTTGGGATTATAGTTTGAATTCTTTATTGCCTGCTACCTCAACCAATCTCTGATATTTAAGAAAAATACACAAGTATTTGCATTCTTTTGTGTAACTCAGAAGTCTAAAAAGTGAATTAGGTACAGATTCTGCATTTAAGGTGCATGCTGATTATTAGAGGAAATTTATAAGTAAATGCTGAATAATAATGCCTTTGAAATAGTGTAGATTATAATGTAGTAATTGTGGCAGTTCACAGGAGTGTCAGTGAGAAAGACAGTGACGGCAGCATTGCTCTGAGTCCTGGGGTATAGGTGGAATTTGAACATGTGAGTGGTAGTCACTGAGCAAAGATAGGGAAAGTGAGTTGAAAAACACGTATGAGGGACTAGAGTAAGTTTGACCGTAGGCCTTTGAAGAAGCAAAATTGAGAGGAATAAGAAAGTCCAGGTCAAGGGAGGATTTTGTGGCAAACTCAGGAGTTGGCTTCTATATTACACAAATTTCAGGGAGGGAGGTAGATAGGTTGAAGATACATGTCATTTTATAATGTAAACTAGTGTTTACTGCTTTGAACATTGTAAGAGGCTAAAGAGTGAGAAGAGTGCTAGTTTGCTTAGATTGGTCAAAGATGGCCCTTCTGAGGAGTTGATTTAAACTTGAATGACATGTGGGAGAGTCATAAGGAAATCTGGGACTAAGAACTTTCTAGACAGGAAACAGCAAGAGAGAACAACAACAACAATAACAACAAAAAAGAATGTGTTTGAGGAACAGTGGAGAGCATGTGATGATGGAAGGGTTGTCAGTGAGGAAACAGGGAGGGAAGTAGTTTAAGAGGGAGCCCGCAGCTAATTGGCGTGGCATTAGAAAGAGAGTGCTAGGCAGAAGTTGAGAAAATTGGAAAGGTTTGAAATGCAGTATTCAGGTAGCAATAGGTGAAAATAGACGTTTGGTGTTGATAGTAATGAAACATTAAAAAATCATAACAAAAAGACAAAATAGTCAACCATTTACCAAATATTTATTATCCAGGTTCAGTAATTATCTAGATTTACTACATTTATTTTATTCTCCATTTGTAGTAACAGGCTTGAGAATTATCTGCTTGTTAAAACCATGAAACCACCAAAGTGGAATAAAGGAGGGAACAGCTATAATGACACTTAACCCTCTCTTGATCATGGTCTACTCTACAAAGGTATAGTGCCCATGGTAACAGTTATGGATTGGAGCAACACTGGTAAATAAAGGATGAATTTTCCTGGTCTAAAAGCTTGGGACCAGAAGTGTTTGAGATTTCAGATATTTTTGGACTTTGGAATATTTACATATACATAATGAGCTATCTTGGGGTTGGGACCCAGGCTAAACACCAAATTCATTTATATTTCATATGTACTTTACATAGCTAGCCAGAAGGTAATTTTATATAAATTGTTAGTGCATCTGTGTTTTGACTGTGACTCAGCACATGACATCAGCCATGTAACTGCATTTGTGGATTTATGTCAGCATTCAGAAAGTTTCAGGCTTTGGAGCATTTTGGATTTTGAAGTTTTGTAAACATTTTTGCTGGTATTGATGGAACTAACTCCAATACTTGTCCTATTTATCTGGAGCTGAAGTTAATTGTAGCATCTTTATGTGGTGCTTTCATGTTGTACAGTACTTTCACGTTCAATTCTCACAATAGCTGTGTGATATATAGATGAATCTATACGTCTAATCTCATTTTATGAGAAGGAAAGTGAAAGTTACAGAACTAAAGTAACTTCTAAAGTTTGAAAAGGGATAGAGCTGGAGCTTAAATCTGTGTCTTTCTGATACCTTGCTAGTTCTCCTAAAACTTCATGCCATAGGGTT